AAGGGTTCATTGTGTCTTGCCCAGGGACACTTCAACCTGTGGCTGCTGGTGTAATCCAACCCCCAACTCCCCCATTGGAGAAAGACTGCTCTAACCATTCAGCCACCACTGCCCCTGTCATCACAGTGACAAATCATTCAGAATGATCTACAAAGATGTACTATGAGTTTTGCCTATAATTTTTGCATCTTTCAGCTGCTCCCTTCTGCAGGGGTTCCACATTATGTAAACTTGCAGATTTGAGAATTATTTTATACCAGATACCATTCATGATGCACCATGGGCTCAAACCTATAGCCGTAGGATTACAAGGGTGTGGAACTTAATGTGGGAGTTCTGGTCCTGCCAGCCACATTCACTCTCTCCCACAGCTGCAGTTTCCTATCAGCCACCACTACACACCTGAACCTGATTTGGAGGACGACCCTGCAGGAGCATAAAAGCCTTTGCCAGATATTCTTTCAGCACTGGGACATTATCATACCTATGTGACTTTCAAGCCTGCCTAGGCCTCCATGCTCCTTGTGACTCAACTTGTCCAGATTGTGTCCTAATTGCCATTCAAAGCATTCAGCCTGAAGAACCAGTCATCACCTCAAATAAACCTGATCCTCTCTCCAACGGTACTCACCTCTTTCCAATTAAAGGACCTCCTGGAAACCAGAACCTCTCAATCCTCTCCTCAGACTCCATCTACCAGAAAATACATTTGTAGTAAGACATTCTACTAGTGATGAGCAAATGACGCTTTTATGAAGCACTGAACCAGTTGGGCCAATTGTTTCAAAAATATGTTAATTTGTTGAAGCTTCAGTTACACTGACCTCTTGTGGCATTTTGCAATGCTGCTGTCAAATTAGGCGTTATGCTTTTGGTGGCACACAACAAGAACTTCAATGACTAGTGTTAAAGAAACAACTTTACTGTGGTAAAAACAGATTTTTTAAATTCATCAACTTTCTATGTTGTCTGGTTTGAAAATTTATTTATGCATATATGTTTTCAAATAAAGATTGATAAATGTGCACTGAAGAGATTTAATAAAAATGTTGCAATGGTATTGTGCTTGTGTAACTGTGGCAGAGTCCGAGTCTTTATCATTCTTAAAAATAACAATGAAATGACGTCGCCAGCATCTCCTTGTTTGGAGCTGAAGTGTCCAACTGAAGCATCATGATACCTCCTCTATGGTTAAACACACCAAACACTGCACCTGCAGAAATACACTAATGTAAAAAATAATAATAATTTGAGCCCATACTGATATATTATTATTAAAATCACATACATCATTTTACTGTAATTATATTAAATACATGGGTTAAATGGGTTATATATATATATATATATATATATATATTATTCAACCTTTATTTAGACAGGTAAATCCCATTGAGCCTCGAGGATTAATTTACAAGAGACCTGATTTCAACAAAGAATGATGACAACAATGGACAACAGCGACAACAATAGACTTATAAAAAAGGCATACAGATGTTTTTAATTAAAAAAACAAAACAAACCAAAAAACAAATAGAATGGCTAAAAAAAGAAAAGTAACAAAAAACAGCTAGAATATCTTCACTGCTGAACATTACTATAACTTTTTTGACATTTAAATACCAAAACCACCTTATCATGAGCACAATGAAGTGTTCCCACATGTTAGAACAATCTCTTTCCCTGGCTGCCTCTATAATTACTCAGTTTCAACTAACAGCAAAAACACACCTACTCTCCAACAGATTACAAACATTTTTAGATCTGTTTTATAGTGTTGAGCACTCTCAATTCAAAACTGTCTCAACCTGTCACCTGTCAGAATCGAGACGAGGCGGTGCCAGGGAATCAGCTGTTTGGACCGCGAACCAGTCCAGAGCTCTGAACCAGTCAAGAGATTAATTTCGACAACGAAACAGTTTGTGTTTCAGACTTCACATGTCACGTGACTTTTTCCGCACCAAAACAAGCTCCGAAGCAGTGGTTCGATGTAATTTTACTGCAGGGTTCAAAGCATGTTTTGAAGCTTTTGTTTCATACTACCATCACTACATTCTACTACACTCATCTATGAAAGATTATTCAAGACTCAACCAAGTACTCGCATTGTCCCCTCTTCCTTTTCAGACCAAAGATCCTGCACCTGTAAATAAAAGCACTTATTTTTGTAACTCTCTCTGCCTCTTTCTCAGTTTGCCACTTGGGGTCAATAACAGAAATCATGTTACTTAACCACTGAGCTTTCACAGCTTCTGGCTATGATTTTAACATGTATGCAGGGAATGTGGATGGAATTTGTTGTTATTCTGGTAAATTGAGCAGAAACAAATGGAGACTCTGGACCACAGTGAAATGAAATGATAATGGTCACCCTTTATCTACTGCATAACATGGCTGTCAGAAACAGGACAATGGCTGCAAATACAACTTGTTACTTTTACATGCTGCATACACTGAAAAATGAACATGACACCTAGTTAGTCTGTGACCATCTCCCTGTAAATTACAGCTGAAATCAGCCCACTTCAAGGCATTCAGAACTTAAAGGCATTCAGAGGCTCCTGCTTTTGCAATGACATTTATTGATAACAACTGCTGCTATGGTTAAGAAATGTGCGTATGTGTGCTGTTGTCCTGATGCATGTTCAATAATCCAGGTAGATGAATCTAACAAAGTTGAGTCAGGTACTCTAGATGGATTTTTCTTTGTTGTCTTTCTTTTTTGTTGTTCTTTCTTCAACAAAGAAAAATCGGTTTAGAGGACCTGCCAACTCTGTTAGATATGTGTGTTGTTCATCCACACTATTAGGGGGGGCTCATAGTCATTTAACAGTTTATAGTATGTGGTGTGTAAGAGTAATAAGTTGCATTTGCAGCCTTTGTCTTGCTCCTGACAGCCACATTGTAGATAAAGAGTTTTCGTTAGCATTTCATTGTGGTCCAGAGTGTTAATTTTATTCCCCTCAAGTTGCCACAATAACAACATATATTTCTTCTACATTTCCTGCACATGTGCTAAAACCATAGCCAGAAGCTCTGATAGCTTCATGGTCAAGTGCCACACACCTGTAATTCTGGGGCTGCAGGTTTGAGCCCATGTTGCTTCATGAAGGGCTTTTGGCTTAAAACCAGTGCTTAATTTGAGCCAGGTCCTGCCAGAACAAGATCTGGGAACGCTCTCATTCAGACCCGGCGTATTCCGGCAACTGTTTGCTCGGATCTAGCAACTCAAATCTCCACCCCTAAAAGTCCAAAGTCGTTGCACATTTTTATTTTGAACGAGAGGAGACATTGCCCTGTCTGTGGAGTGGATGTTCCAGACGCACTACGCGCACCAGCTCGCGCACACGCTCCTGCCCAGCAGAGACGCAGATCGCATATCCTGCAGGGATGAACATCTTCATCCACCATCAACTGTGTGCCCTGCAGGCAGTGTACGTTTTATGCACATGAGTGTCTCCAGACAGCTCTACAAACTGTGTGCACAACTGCTGATGAATCAGAACTCCTGCATACATTTCAGACATAAATAAAAAAGCTTACAGTAAAAAATAAAAAAAATAAAAAAACGAGAGAAACGTTTATTCACATTACATCACGTTTTAAAATGGCCCTAATTTGTCAAAATAACAGCGATCAAAATGTCAAACACAATTTACTTTCATAAAATAAATGGATGGATGGATGAATGGATTATCAAACCAAAAATTGAAGAACTTGAAGGCAGTGGTAATTGAAATTGGAGCAGGAGGAGCAATAACACGCAGGCAGCTGGTGCAGGATTGAATTCAGTTGAGAATGGTAAATGGACTGTACTTATATAGCGCCTTTCTATCTTAGCAAGATACTCAAAGCGCTTTACACTACAATCTGTGCCCTCATTTACCCATTCATACAGCACTCTACTAGATCTCTACAAAGCTAATTGAACAACTCATTCTAAAGAGACTAATCAGAGCTTTTATCACATTCATACACCGATGGGACACACATCGGAGGCAATGAGGGGTTCAGTGTCTTGCCCAGGGACACTTCGACATGTAACTGCTGTTGGATTTGAACCCCCAACTCTTGCATTGGAGGATGACTGCTCTAACCACTCAGCCACAACTGCCCAGCTGAGAAGAGTTCAGGTCAGACAGTGAAGTGTGTGTGTGGGTGGGGGGGAGATAGGACGCTTGACAGAATAGGAGCTGCTCGGCTTGCTGTTGTTGCTCTCTAAAATAGTAATTTCAATTCACCCTTTATTTATACGAGTTGTTAGTCTCATTAAGCCTCAAGGACTCATTTACAAGAGAGACCTGTTTTTAATCAATTTAATAAAATCAAAATGTTAACAGATGTTTAACAACCCGTTAAAATACACCAAAACCCAGGAAATGGCATCTCTTTTATTCCAAATTTTCTGGGGAAGGAAGACCTCCCGCCGGACCGCCTGCTGCTTGTGTTCCGGCATCATTAGGTTTACAAATTAAGCCCTGCTTAAAACTATTCCCAAATCTGCCCATTTATACGCTGTGCTAACCCTTTAAGAAGTGAACAGCCAAAAGCTGCAAAAAATGTAGGCAAAACACACGACACCTTTTGTAAATCACTGTGAATGATTTGTTACTGTGATTTGTTTAGACTAATTTGTCAAAAAAAAATGCAAAAATGCCAAAATACCTTAAAAAATGAACAGGCATAGGAAAGAAAAGGTACTGAAGCAAAAATACACACATAAGCAATGTACTGATATTTTAATCAATATGTCTGTTTTGGAAAAAAAAAAAAAAAAAGGGTTTCTGGCAGGTTTGGTCATGTCTATTCAGACAACACTTCTTGCCACATCTGCAATCACCATCAGCATTCATGACAGTGGGGAAGAACCGTCCTCTACCTCAAAATCATGGCGGAACTGAAACACACACAAACAAAAACATTCCATCTACTTGTAGAATCAGTAGACAGAGAGTGAATGAGGATCTTTACCACCTTATTCATATCTCACCTGGTATGGGTTACATGCACTGATGTCCACACCCATTGAAGCAGCAGCTTTGACCATATCCGCATGGTCTGTACTCATCACAGTCCTCAACACATGGTACAATCATTTGGTATGGACATGGCGATATGGGAGGTGCTGACAGAATAGATAGAAAAAATTGCTTTTTGAATGTAGACAAAAAAATTTAAACAGCCTGAACACAATTATTTTTTACAACTTTTTTGTCACCTAAATAGATTCACCATTGGCATTAATAACTACTTTGTAAAATCCTTTTTTTTTTTTTTTTTTTTAAAGACTGAGTCTGACAAAATGTCAAAATAAGTTTTGGAGTTAACCTAATTCAAGTTGATAGCCACAACTAAGCAACTATATATAAAACTCAGACAGTTTTACAGATACTGAAAATAATTTTGCTGTGGTAATAGCTGAGTGATCACCAACACATTTTTAAAACTCTAATACTTGTTTTTATATTTTAATTAAACATTTGGGCATTAAATTTTGCTGTTGACTGTCTATTAGTGAATTATCTTGTGAGCTACAGCTACTCCAATGTTATACTCCCACCACTCCAACATGAATCCAAACAGTAGACGGAAACACATTTGTCTCTGAGATGAATCGTTGTGAGTAAAAAATATAATCTCCATCACCAAACATACAGTAGAAGTCAGTTTATTGTAAAACTAAATATTTTATTCCATCCTAGGACTCATCAGATTTTTCTTGAAACCCTTTAACTGTTTTTGACATGACAGTGAAGTTTTTGTCAGATGAATTCATATAATTCAGCTAAACCAGTAGGGCATTCAGTGTCTTCACTTAACCTGGCTGTTTATTTCTACTTCTACATTTTGTAACTTTTTGTTGGAATATGACTTACGTTGAGCAGGAGGGGTGCAGCGAAGACTACAGCATTTTTCAGATTCTGGGCAATCCTGGTCATTGGTGCAATATAGCCATATTGGTTGCGGAACTGGACGGCCGCTTGGACAAGCCCCTGGTTTTAGATAAGTGGTGGCTTAATGTTAATGAGGGTGTCTAGTTTCTAGGTTAGTAAGACAAAAAACAAATTGATACAAAAGAAAAATAAACAATCTTACCAGGTTTTTGTGGAGCACAGGGCTCAAACAGACAAGCTGCTATCAGCAGGACAGCTACTATTAAACATCGTGTCCTCATGTTTATTTATCACAGTCAGAAATGATCTCCTGAATGCCTGTGTAGATAAATTTCCTGTTAAATAAACTGCAGTCTGAGCAGCACAGAGAATGCTGGGTCCTTATGTCTGCAGAGCTCCTTTTCAAAAGATATATAGTAGCAACAGACACACCCAAATCTTCATTACCTTTTTCAAACACATTTTTTAAGTTCATTCGGTAACGAAAGGTTAAGGTTCAAATCATGTTTGACAACTAATTGCATGTGTTGCATTCTTTTCTTCATTGTATGTAGACTATTGTTACATTTTTGCACTTTTGTTTACTCTCGCAACTAATTTTTAAAATTGGGTATGGAACACCAAAATGGTCAAAATTAAATAAATAAATAAAACATGAAATAAGAAAAAAAAGTTGTTCTTTTATTTCACGATTGTGTTTTTCATGATAGCTTATTTATTTCACAATAACACTTTTCAGCAGAATGATTTAATCTGTTAATCAATGTCAGTTGGTTGGATCTGCACGCCAATTGGCTGATCCTTCACATCGATTAGTGTTACTACTCACTGCACGGGTACAGCTAGCCATAGTAGCTAGCAACGACTTAATAGTTCAAGAGTTATGAAGGATGGCAGAGTTGCATGAACTTCATTCAGCTCTGGTTACATTAGCAGATCAAAATGAGAGGATTACATGCTCAGAAGATACAGTTTGGAGTTGTTTGGATGATATTTTAAAAATTATCAGGATAACAATTGCTTTTCATAATGTTAGCATGGATGACACTATTGTCGATAGTTTAAGAGCCTGTGTCCATCTGGAACATGCACAACAGGAACTGTTCGGATGTTGGCCGATCACATCTTGAAATCCTTGGAGCAGCACTCAAGACTTCAGTGCTGTCCGGCAGAACTATCGAGGTTATTGCGAAAATTGTTTTCTGTTTGAGGAGAATGGCGGAAGAAAGGATCAGGTGATTTTAACCCTTAATTCGACACCTCTTGGATTGCGTGTATGGCCTTATTCAAATGATCACAATTAGCACATTAATTTATCTGATGAAATATTATCAGTATCACCCACTTTTTACTGTAGCTCTCTAAATCCCGTTGGCCGGGTGTAAAGCTGCCTCAGGGCGCCATGTTTAACTCAGCCGGTATTGTGCCAAAATGTAATGGACAGCAGGAGCATGCACAAGAGGACACACTGTTTCAGTTATTTGAATTTAACAAGATTATCACTTAAAAACGACTGTTTGCTTGAGATTATAGCAAAGGTGTGTCTCTGTTTACTTTTACTTTAATAAATGCACTTTAATGATCAAAAAAGCTTCATACAGGTCCTTCTCAAAAAATTAGCATATTGTGATAAAGGTCATTATTTTCCATAATGTAATGATAAAAATGAAACTTTCATATATTTCAGATTCATTGCACACCAACTGAAATATTTCAGGTCTTTAATTGTTTTAATACTGATGATTATGGCATACAGCTCATGAAAACCCAAAATGCCTGTCCCAAAAAATTAGCATATTTCATCCCACCAATGAAAGACAAGTGTTTTTAATACAAAAAA